AATTCTCAAAACTCTTTCAATCATATATGAGTGTCTCTCCTCTTGGACCTTTTGTCCTAGATTTGTCCATAATAAGTCTCTAGCAAACTGTCAATTATATTTTAGATTTTTCTACCCAAGAAATAAAACCTGCAGAAGTTTCTGCTAGTAAATATCTGCTCTGGTAAGCTGTGATTCTCTATATCTACCTGTTGTAGTTTTAACTTTGACAGCAATACTTCGTACTATATGTTCTTTTGTCTTGATTGATCTAAGAACTGTCACTGAGTTTTCCAGTTTGTTTAGTTCTTGACATGTTAGGATAGAGTAGCAACTTCCAAATTTCTTACATGCTGGTATGGAAACTGGAAGTATCATTTTTACTCTCTCAGTGTTGCTCAGCAAATGCATTTTTGTTAGATTTCATCCTTGGATAAGGTCTTGCTTCCCCTTACAACATAGCTTTTCGCTCAGTCTATTTCATCTGTCCGAAAAGCCATTATCTATATCATTTCATACATGTGCCCACACACAAAATTCAGCTAGTTAACATCTACTCCTCCACTATATTTTAGCTCCTTTATGGCTTGTACAAACCTGAAAAAGTTAATTATTTCTATTTTTCAACGTATTTATAGGAAAAAGCTGTGTTTATTCATTGAATTTTAAAATTAAAATGCATTTTCTGCAAGAACAAAATCACTGATGACAGAAACTGAGTCTGTATTCTGAGTAGCAGTTGTATTCAAAGGGCTTATATAATGTTCTACTATGCTATGTATGTCTTCAATAAATATTTGGAAATACACTTAAGCATTGGGAAAAGAGAAGTAGAAGGATAGTTTTATATAAAAGATTGTTAGCTAATTTTAAAATAAGCTGTTAAAATGCAGGCAAAACACTATTAAAATGGTTAAGAAATGAAAGATCATATGTTCTAGAACTTTTACACTAATACTATGACTTTCTTTTCCTTGCATGATATTCTACAACATTGTATTTCAATGTTTTATCATGTATCTCTATTTCTTTAAAATGCTGATAATAATCTTGGTAATATCCTTTTTTTTTTTTTGGGGGGGGGGTTTTGTTGTTGTTTTTCTCCAGTACCGGGAACCGGGCTCACGACCTTGCGCTTGCCAGGCAGGCGCTTTTGCCACTGAGCTAAATCCCCAGCCCCAATATCCTTGTTTAATTAACTAGACAATAAACTACATAATGTTACTAAGTCTGTAGTTAATATGTTTTGCATTAAATGGACATGGTCTGACAATATGAGTTGACTAGTCTCCGAATGCTTAGAATAATATTTAGAAGTTAAAGTAAATCCAATTAATCAAATCAGCCATAATATGTTTCCTACAAATATTTTACATCATTTCGTACTTGCACAATACAGCTTTGAAAGATTTGAACGCTATTCTCCAAAGGCAGAAGAAATTATCTAAATTGTATGATCAATGATAAGCATGAGATTAACCATGTGTTTTCATTTTCCCAGTTATTTCAGGTTAATTAAACTCAGCAGGATTTATATACAGAAGTTTTCAGGGACAAATTCAAACATGGTAGACTTAAATAAAAATAAGCAGATGTTGCATCCACTAGGTTGCTTCATTAGTGATTACAACTATGCCCCCAGTTAATAAGAAAACATGAAAGCACTTTTTAAATGCTTTGTCTCTTTTGTTATGAAGAAAATGAATCACAAAATAGTTGCCATGGGCTCAACTCTACCAAGAATCTACACACTTGTACAATCCTGTAAGAGTGCTGACTTGGGCCTGAAAAACATCATTTTTCTTCTTGAGTATTTCAAGTTGTTTTTACTTGGTACCCTTGATTCTAAACATTTCTTTTAAATCATCAAATATCCAGTGATCCATACAACATGCAATATCTACAATCATCTCCCTAAAACTCTTCTAGAAACTTTCCATTTTAAATACAATTCAGATTCCTTACTTTGACCAACAAAGACAATATATTAGACTGTAGACAATTCTCCATCTGGTATTATACAAGACTCTTTTTTCTGCTTTACAGCATTCATGTGCATTTGTCCTTGAATTTAGCAAGCATCTTAAGGCAACTTAAGGCTTTTGCATAAATTGTAGCGCCTGGTATTTTCTCCCCTTCCACTCTTCCATAATTAGTTTGGTATCATATACAATTCAGCTTAAATTTAACCTCCCACACAGATACTTAATGATTCAGTATTGAATATCACCTTATCATTCTGCTTTTTACTTTTAGTGTTTGTCAATATAGGATCTCTTCAGTTTCAATAGTTTATATAGTACACTTCTCTAGTAGAATGTGAGCTCTAAATGAAAAATAACTTGTTTCCAAGTTCATTTTGTGCACTAACTTTTCAAGTTCTACACCAGTGGTCATTACCTGATATTTATTTTATCAATATTTGCTCAGGGGATGATCAAGAAAAAAATGTATAAAATTCAAACTTTAGGGATACATACATAGGCATGTATTCATAATTACCTAAAATATGAGTTATATACATCTATATTTGTGTTATAATATTATGTCCTTAGTATAACAAAACCTAAAAATAAGCTTTGTGGTCTGTTTTTTCAAAATACAAATTTCTTAGGAGTTAGAATATGTTACGATGAAGAAAGCAAAAGACATTAAATAGTGAACTGATCCAACACTATTTATTATCTCTCTCATTAACACCTCACTCAGGTGAGAAACGGAGACTAATTTCTATTATTTTATGTTTTATGCTGCACAAGAAAGTTCATACTTTGAGAAGAAACCAATTTTAACTTAAAATTTATGATATCTCATTTAACTACTCGAAGATGAAAATATCCTTTATAGACATAGACAAATATTTTATTGAGATTAATATGTCAATGATTATCACGGGCAGTGTGAATCACATGGATTGTTATGTTTGGAGTGTGGACCAGACCTTCTCCCTGGACATATACAGTGACATGAAATAACGAATTGCTTTTGAACTTAACTGCATCAGAAAACTGGATTTTCCTTTTAATAGCAGACATGTAATAATTGACTTATAGATTAAAATATAGTCTATAGCAAAGATTAATTCTATTCCAATACATCCATAAATTCAATACAATTCTAATCAAAATCTTACCATAGTGTGTGTGTGTGTGTGTGTGTGTGTGTGTGTCTGTGTGTGTACAGAAACTGCAGATTAGGTAAAATGGAAATGCAGGAGTCAAAAATAATAAAGCAACTTTGAAGCTGGAGGATTTGAGAACGATTATAAAGACTTACTGATTAATAACATCTGATATTTGCTAAGCAAAGTAACAGAATAGCAATTATAGAAATAGACTCATCCTTATTTGATCATCTTGATTATACAAAAATGACGCAGAACTAGTGATCAATGCATATCTTTCCATAAATGGCGGAATTGTCTAAAGATAACTTTTTAAAAAACACATTCAAAAGTGTCTGGATTTTTCAAGTAAATTGTATATCTAAACAGAAAACATAGTATTTTGAAGATTTTAGTGGACACATAAAGTATACCTTAGTGAATTTTTATAGGCAAAAACTTTAAAAATAGGATAAAAATTAGGAAAGTAAAATATCCTACTGCAATACAATCAAGCACTTTTATTGTTCACTGGAGTAAACATTTTAGCAGTTAAAAGGAGTCATAGAATTATAAAAGAGAGTATGTACATACTTATACTTATCATATGACTATTTCCATATTATTTATTCATACATATACTTCATAATATGTACAGTATATATTATTATATATAATATATACATATGTATATTTCTAACAAAGCATATTACATAAAATAAAAAAACCATATACACACCAGTTAGTAAAGATCACCTGTTAGGAAATGATTAAACTATTTGAATGAGAGCTCAAAAGACCACACCAAATATTTTTAAAGTAAGAAAAAATATTCAAATTTAGTAGTGTTTACTTTTTTTCATTTTAGATCACTATGAACTACCACTACTTATATATTAATTAAACTTTCACTGTAGAGTAATTTGGTTAATATGATCATTTTGAAGTATTATTTAACAGGGTCTATAAAAGTTAAATATACACGTTGAAAATGCTAGAAATTCCACACTTAGTTAAACACAAAAAGAAACAGTATGCCATAGCAGCATAATTATTAATAGTTCTAAATTGGAAGGTACTAAATTACCCATGAACAATTGAATGAAAGAAGAGATTTGCATATAATCACATAATGGGATAAAAAAATACACTCAATTCCATATATACCTATACAAATAATCTTGATGAATTTCACAAACAAGACATTAAATGGAGCAAGAATATAAGACAAATTTGCATCAGAAATAAACTCAAACAATAAAAAAGGCCAAACTAATCAATTGTGTTAGAAGGAGTTATTTTGAATTCAATTTATGCTTAAATGAATCAGTTTTCACGAATAACTCCAAATACCATTATCATTTTTTGCTCAAAGTTCAGAAAGGTAAATTTAGAAGCTGTAATAACACACTATGTAGACCATGCAACACGATCAATACAAAACAAAAGTTTTGTGACCTCCACATAGTCACTTCTTAAATTGTAGGAGGTACCATATTTTTGTTATAAACTTAATTAAGTTAACTATTAACTCAGATTACATTTGCTATCTTTCTTTTATTCAATAGGAATTGAAAAAAATGGGAAAATCATAAACAGATACTATTGTGTAACTATTGTTTTATATATCCATCCACCCATCCATCCATCTTTCATGTGTAAATCATGACAGTAATTCTTTCCATTGAGGATTCCGTTTGGAGGTTTATTTTTGAGGGCAGTATTTTCAAAGTTACTGAACTTTGTAAGATGTTATACTCAGTTATATAGATATAAGCCCAGAAAGAAGGCAGCAATGTGTCCCATATCCTATAGTGAAATGCTCTACCCTGTTTTGAAAACAAAGCCCCATACAAAGGACGGGCTTCCCTGTGGCTCTCACAGTCACTGCGATAGGATATAGACGCCTGATACTCACAGGTATGCAGCTTTTCCTTCCTCAAGTTCTTTACTTTTCCCACTGGAACCACTCTTCTTCCCGCACATCCTCCTGGTGATGCACATCAATAGCCCACATTGTCGAATAAAGAAGCAGCTGACATCCGTTACCACCAGGATTAACAACAGGGCTGCAACTCCCAGGCCAATGACTGCTCCGAGTCCAAGACCATTAAAAAGTGTGTCTTAACAAAAACAAAAAGTAAGAAAATAATTCCATTAAATCCCCAGATCAGAAATCATCAAGCAATTTTTTTATTTAATATTAACAAAGATATATATTTGACTAAAGAGACAGGAAAAAGTATTAACAACTGGCAGCCTCAGTTTCATCATTATTGGGACCTATTATCCGGCTTTCAAGCCATATTTTAAGCAGCTGACAGGTTAATGACTTGAATACTCCTTTCAAAATCTTTTTTAAAAAGACTAGGCATATTCAGTATATTTCTTGATTCCCTGTGGGGAAGATAATGAATAGTATCAGATTCCAAACTATAATTTATCAGAAATTCACAGTCATTATAGACCATCACCATGTTAAATCGAAAATATAGTCATAAGTGCTGTACAGTCCTAGGTAGTGCTACTTAAATATTCCATAAGGAATCACTTTAGTTTTAAGGCTTAAACTTACAAGTGGATGTCTCCAAGCATTTAGCTTTGATACTGAATTTATTTTGAGATAACTTCCTCTGAATATTTTTAAAAATCATTACTTTAAAAGGTGCTTATATTTTATGAAGTTAATATTTTAATGAGTACATTAAAGAAGAGGAAAAATTTTACAAAGGTATGCTACTTATGACCAGATCACATCAAGAAAATATGGTGGCATATAAGAGCCATTTATCTATGGCATTTGGTTGCAGGAAATCCTAAAGGACCTGCAAAATGTATCCATGAAATAAGTGATTGAGAATAGAATGGATAATGCTGGCCCACAAAGCAAAAATGTAAATAGGGGCTGGTAGTAATAATGGTTTGTGACATGCAGTGTAGACCATGAGGAAAGAAATGCAACAATAGAAATATGGAAAAAATAAATAAGGGCAATGGGGAAAATATGCAATTGTTATCCAAAGTAATTAGAGTGAATAATTTTATAAAAATTCAAAATTATTCTTAATGTTTATAGGTAAATAATTTGTGTGCATAAGAGAATAATGTTGCAATTATCCTTTTAATTCTATAACATAGTAATGGTGTGTTCCTTACACAACGTGTATGGAACAAAAGTGACAAATACAACTGGGGGAAAAGTTGGATTTGGCAAAAGCTCTTGTGAAATAAATTTGGAAAACAAAGATTTGTTAAATTGTATCTCTGAATTTATATTTAATATTTTAATAATCTCTTGAGGAGAAATTGTTTCAAGGAAGGACAATGAATGCCCTTATCTAAATGCATCATTCGCAGATCAGCCTTGAAGATGTTGGTGTCAGGTTAGGTCTTAGCCCTTGTGGATACACTGAGTTAATGACCCTGTTGTGCATGAGTTGCTGTTCTTCTACTGCATTTCCATTCCTCCCATGGGCAGCCATAGTCTCCGCAATAAAGCCCACAGCTCAATGATAATACCACTGATTGACTTTAAAAATTCAGATTTACCTTTTCTAAGTACCAAGTCTTGTTTTATACTGAAATATGGCTGCATCAGGACCACTGCACAGGAAACACCACTGCATAGGAAAACCAGAAATTCCTGGTTCACTCACTGTTACGCATCTGACTGGATAATTATCTACCATCTCCAAGATTGAGGTATGTATTGATGTGGGGACAACTATCAACTCAACTGGAAACTAGGCCAAAACATTGTTGTGAAGCTTTTTATACAAATGCAGTTAACAAAGCAGTTTTTTGCTTTGTTATAATAAAGCAAATAATAAAGCAGTTATTGTTAATAACTGCTTAACAAAACGGTTATATTCCAGTGCACAATAAACATTTATCAAATATTGGTCATTATTATACAGTTACAAAATTCTAAAGAAATTGTCTTGTGAAAAATAAACACTATCTAAATATACGTATGAAAGTAGACTATAAAGATATTTTTCCCCATCAGTAATCTAAGGCAGGAGAGAAACTTTTATTTCATAATTATTCTTTTGGGAATACTCTTTTAAGAAAATGATTTAAATTAGGGTAGTTAGTCTCCACATGATAAATATTTCATTTGTGACATTTTCAGTGTTAAACTGATATAATGATCTTCATTTCCATCTTTAGGAAAATGATATTTTAAAACATTATATGATGATATCACTTCTTTCAAGAGAAAAATACACATTTTATCTTGAGATAAAATTGTTGAAAGTTAAATTTGCTCTTTCGTAAGTGTAAATGTATTCTGCAATTGCAGAGGATAGTGTGAATAATAAATGTTTAAATTTTAAATATTTGTCTCATCACTTTTGCCTAAGATCAAGTATAGTATCTGTTCTTATCAGTTTAAATACCTCTTAAAGTTATGTTTAATATATATTTTACTTTCAGGTTAATTATTTAATTACCTATTTTCTCATATCCTACATGTTTAGGCTATCATAACTATGAAAGTTAAATTTCCTGTGTTCTTACTAATTTTACTTGTACTTTGAATTTTTACAGATGAAATCATAAGCACATGCAAAATGATAGTCCTATGATTTGAAGGCTAATAATAATCTATCAGTGATATAAATAATTCTTCCTTTATAAATTAATTATGACATAATGGTTTAAAAAATTAGAATTGAACATAAGTAATCACTTAAATGATTTTAAAATCATCCTTTAATTTTTCAGCCTTTCAGAATATTCACAGATATCCTATCATTTTTGAGATGACACCATTGCATAGGAAAATAATACTATCAACTCTAAAGATGGATTATTGAAGTCCAGAGTGTACTAGATTCAGTTTTACATTAGACACCATCATATTAATGAGAAGATACAAATAAAATATTAGTACAATAAAAAACACAATTTCAAAATTCAAATGTTTAATATATGTATATTTTTACAACTACTGTAAGCAGAATGATTATAAACATATATTTTGAAATGAGTTACAAGAATGTAAATTACATAAAATATTTCTGGGTTGAGCTGTCTTTCTAATGATTCTTTCATGCATTGCTCATAACAAAGAAGATTTTCTATCACAACTTAATGAGAACAAATGATTAGGAATCAGAAAATTTAAACTTTTAGGGGCTGGGAATTTAGCTCAGTGGCATAGCGCCTGCCCGGCAAACGGAAGGTTGTGAGTTTAATCCCCGGTACCGGAAAAAAAAAAAAAAAAGAAAATTTAAACTTTTATCTTTGGTTCATATGAAGACATGGAAACCAAGCTGACTGTCTGCTGCACTGTCCTCGGAAATTAACTAATGAAATCAAACTATGTATTCTCCTGATGTTTATGTACTTGTAATCTAATTTTTATCAAGACATGAAAATAAAGTATTCAAATGAGACAAAAGTTAAATTCAAATCTACTACATATATGTATTTCTGTATTTCTGTATAAAAATTATTTAGAAACTTAGTAACTCAATTTTGAAATTGCTTAAAATTAGGTTTGCATACCAGTACCCTTCTTAAGTAAATAAGTGGACAATCGGAAATGTATACACAAATTTTATTTGTTATTATTTATTTATTCGGAGATATTTTAGAGAAAATTCCAATAAAACTATTTTTATATATTTGAAACAATATGGTGTTCAGATTTGCAAGCTGCCATGAAAATAGGGAAATATTGATACAAGCAAGATATAAAATACAGTGAATTTAATATGAAATCACTGTTATTAGTAATCTGAGAAGTGGGACCCTATTTCTCTACACACTGCTTTTCCTATTCTGTGTCTCCAGGATTTAGGTAGTCTACTGTGCATCCATGAAAGGATGAACCCTTCATCTTTGGTTGATACTCAAATGATTTGTTAGAAACAAAATTCTGAATATCTAAACTTTTCAATGTCTGTTAAATACCCCTGAACTGTGTCAGTTACAAAGAGGAAAATCATTGCAAAATGCATCATCACGGTTGTTTTAAAATATCATTTGACATTAGCCCATAATTGAAACTAAACAGCAAATTCAATAAATAATATTTAAATTTTTATTCTTTTTCCTCTCTAAACCAAGTTTAAAATTACTCCATCTATACTGTGAGAAAAAAAGGCTGGGGATTTAGCCCAGTGGCACAGCGCCTACTTTGCAAGTGCAACGTCGTGAGTTCAATTCTCGGTACCCGAAAAAAAAAAAAAAAAACCACCACTGATAAAAAAGTTGATCATACCTTCTCAAAATAAATTCTGTTGAATTATAACAGATAGCATCTTATACTTTATTTCTTGAACTATGCCTGGAATATTTTAATCAAAAGTACTTTAGATAGATGACAAATATTTAATGAATACTATTTGCAAAGAGCGCAAAATATTTTTCATGCATTTGTAGCTCATATATTACAAAAGAAAATATATAAATAAGTTACTATTTTATTCTTCGTTTATTATTCATAAAATATGAATACTAATACTGCTTAAAATAGTCTTTCAGAATCATTTGTAAAATCATTTGGGAAATTTAAAGCACTATAGAAATATGTCATTATTCTTTTTGCTATGCGTACTACTTTAAAGAAATTATATTTATTGTAACTTATTTTTATGGTGCTTTTTGAAAAAATTTAATTTATTTTCTATTTTACCAAAAATTTTCTAGATTACAGTAAGTATATAAATATTTCAATATTGTTAATATTTTTAAGGATGTTGCATTAAAATAATAGTGAGTGCATGTACACATTTTTTGGGAGGGGGTACCAGGAATCAAACAGGACCTTGCATTTGCCAAGCAAGTGCTGTGCCATTGAGTTATAAATTTTTAATTAATCAACTAATAATTAATCTTGCCATTCTAGGGATCAAGCAAAACACACTTTAAACTCTAAGTAACATCTCCAATCCCAAGAGCTTTACAAAACTATAGTTATTATATTTTATAATTTCTCCCAGTAAGTTATACACCTTAATGTGATTTCCATTCTTCTAATTATGTATAAATTTAAAGGTGGTCAGAAATAATCAAGATTTAAAACGTTACTTTTTATTCCTTCTTTGTACAATAAATGCTCCTCTTTGTAGTTCCCTTATTTCTGAATCCTATTTTAATTTTATATGTA